AAAAAAAAAAAATACAGTGGCAAGGAGGCAAGGGGGAGGGAGTGGCCGGGCTATGTGCCTCACACCTATGATCCCAGCCCTTTGAGGCCAAGGCAAGAGGATCACCTTTGGCCAGGAGTTTGAGACCAGTCTGGGCAACATGGCAAGGCCCCATCACTACAAAAAAAACCTTTTAAAAAATATTTATTTATTTATTTTGAGATGGAGTCTCGCTCTATCGCCCAGGCTAGAGTACAGTGGTGCAATCTTGGCTCACTGCAACCCCCACCTCCTGGGTTCAAGTGATTCTCCTGCCTCAGCCTCCCAAGTAGCTGGGATTTTAGGTGCCTACCACCATGTCCAGCTAATTTTTGTATTTTTAGTAGAGACGGGGATTCACCATGTTAGCCAGGCTGGTCTGGAACTCATGACCTCAAGTGATCTGCCTACCTCAGCCTCCCAAAGTGCTGGGATTAAAGGAGTGAGCAACTGTGCCCGGCCAAAAACTTTTTTTAAATACAGGGGGGTAGGGAAAAAATGTGAAACATTTCAAGTCTATAGTCAAGTATAGAGAATAATAAAGAGGATATCCATACACCCCACTATTCAGTTTTATCAAACATTTTTACAACATTTTACAAACATTTGTGTAAGGTCAAATTCCCAGTATGGTTGTTTTGTGTTAAGATATAAAACAATACAGAAAGTTGACAGCCCAAGTGACCCTCCCTAATCCTACTCCCTTCTCCCGCCCTGCTTTAGATAAAAATCTAAAGGCATCCTTTAGGCATGGTAAACGTTTTTATTTTGATTGTCATGTTTATCATGCCTAAGAATGCCTTTAGACTTTTATCAGGGCATTTACGTTTTATGTTATACATGTTTAAACCTTTTTATACATGACTTTGTGTTGTGTCAGCTTATCTAAGCTGGAACTACATTTCCCATAATTTCCCTCCCTGCATGGTTTTGGGCATGATGCTCAGGATCTGGAAGTGAAGCAGCAGCCATGTTTTAGCAGTTCCGGGCAGGTGCTATGGCAGCTCACATGCATTATGACAGATCTGCTGGATCATTTTGCTGATGGTGGCAACAGCTGGGCATGTAATTCCTTTAGCTCCCAAAAGACCCTCTTCAGTTTCCCCAGCTCCTGAGCTAAGTGTGTACTTAGTTTCAGAATGAAGGACACCAGACTTCCTTGCATGTCACCTGAATTAACAAAATGAGAGGCTTGGAGGTGGTATAAGACTGAGGCAGGTTTTAGCTCATTCTTGCTTTTCTTCCTGGGTGCCAGTGTGTCCTCATTCTCCCACTTCACATCCATCTTTCCCTCCCCAATGCCTGCCTGTGCACTTTATTCCCAGACCCAGACAAAGAATTAACATCCTCACAGAGACCTATTACCAGTTCCCACAATTGTGTAAGGTCAAATTCCCATAATAAAATCCTTTTTTCTTTGGGGTTGAATATGATGAAAAAAATAAAAATAAATCCTTTATTCTGTCAGGCACAGGAATACTTTATTCTGTGTGCACCTGTAATCTCAGCTACTCAGGTGGCTGAGGCAAGAGAATCATTGAGTCCAGGAGTTCAAGATGCACCTGGGCAACATAGCAAGCTCCTCATCTTAAAAACATATTCTTTATTCATTGTCACTCCTAGGGGTCCTGCTTCTCTGATTGGATCACGACTAACAGAGAATATGCTACTGGACATGGTTCTAAGAGGAACAGAACCTTAGTGAGTGATGAGTTCAGTCTGGGCCACCTAGAATTGATTCTGTGACCTAATTAGATTTAAAGGCATAAATACCCTTACCAGAGGTTGCCAGGGGTAAAGAGATCACTGGTTCTTCCTTGTGTGCCACAGAAAAAAAAAAGTTATTTATTTATTTTTAATTATTTACTTATTTATGTTTGAGACAGAGTCTCACTCTTGTTGTCCAGGCTGGAGTGCAGTGGCGCAATGCTGGCTCACTGCAACTGCCTCCTGGGTTCAAGAGATTCTCCTGCCTCAGCCTCCTGAGCAGCTGGGATTACAAGCGCCTGCCCCCATGCCTAGCTAATTTTTCTATTTTTAGTAAAGATGGGGTTTCACCATGTTGGCCAGGCTGGTCTCGAGCTCATGACCTTGAGTGATCTGCCTGCCTCGGCCTCCCAAAGTGCTATGATTACAGGTGTGAGCCACCGCACCCAGACACATATGGTTTTAAGCTATTCAGATATTTCCTTTTATAAAGTGCCTAGTTCATGTACTATCCTGTGTCGGTGGTCTTTTAAAAGTCTGCTATAGGGCCAGGTGCAGTGGCTCACACCTGTAATCCCACCACTTTGGGAGGCCAAGGCAGGTGGGTCACCAGAGGTCAGGAGTTCAAGACCAGCCTGGCCATCATGGTGAAACCCCTTCTCTACTAAAAATACAAAAAATTAGCTGGGCGTGGTGGCAAGCGCCTGTAATCCCAGCTACTTGGGAGGCCGAGGCAGGAGAATCACTTTAATCAGGAAGGTGGAGGTTGCAGTGAGCCAATATGGTGCCATTGCAGCGTGGGTAACAACAGCAAAACTCTGTCTCAAAAATAAATGCATAAATAATTTTAAAAATACAGTCTGTTATTAGTTTTGCTTTATTTTTGGTATCCTTTCATTTTGTGTCTTGGAATCAATGAATATTTTCCTTTATAGATTCAGATTTTGACTTATCCTTAAAACGTCCTTTCCCTAACACCTATACAAAAATCAATTATAGACCTAAATGTAAAAGGTAAAATAATGAAGAATCAGAAAAATGCCTGGAGAATATCTCCATGACTTGGGGCAGGCAAATATTTCATTTAAAAGACACAGAAGCAGATTATTAAACTTCATAAAAATTAGGATTTTTTTTGTTCATCAAAAGGACAACTAGAGCTGGGTGTGGCAGTAATCCCAGCACTTTGGGAGGCCATGGCCAGTGGATCACTTGAGGTTAGCACTTCCCGACCAGCTTGGCCAACAAGGTGAAACTTTCACTGCTAAAAATACAAAAATTAGCTTGGCATGATGGCAGGTGCCTGTAATCCCAGCTACTGGGGCAGGAGAATCGCTTGAACCTGGGAGGCAAAGGTTACAGTGAGCGAGATTATGCCACTGCACTCTAGCCTGGGCAACTCCATCTCAAAAAAAAAAGAAAAAGAAAAAAAGATTACTAAAAGAATGAAAAGGCAGACCACAGAGTGACAGAAGTTCTCTGCTTCTGTATATATTACAACAAAGGACTTGATTCCAAATTATCTATACATAAAACTCTTACAATAGGAAAAAGATAGTGACCCAAGACAAAAATAAGCAAACCAGTTGAACAGGCATTTCACACAAAAGAGGATCTCCAAGTGGCTGATAAGCATATACAAAGATGCTCACATTGAAGGGTCTTCAGGGAAATAAATGCAAATTAAAACCACATACCCTAGGGGGTTTGAATCAAGGCAGTTCTGTTAACCTCTTTTACTGTATTTACTAACATGTAAATTGGAGATATTAATGCTTATGCTCAGGAGTTTACAGTCTGAAGAGGGAATAAATGACACAACAGAAAACTGACAATTATATATGGAAACACAGAGAGTTATATACTAAAAGTACAGAGCTAGAGACATAGTGGCCATATCTTTTACCCTGAAATCAAATCAAATCAAATCCTGGCTAAAGTGATCCTCGAGCCTCAGCCTCCCAAAGTACTGGATGATAGGCATGAGCCACTGCACCTGGCCAAAAAGTTTTTTTTTTAAAAAAGAAAGAAATTGATAACCATATTGGTATCCCAAGGCACGGAAATTAAAAGGCTAGGGCCAGGGTAGGAAATTTACTTATCACCGTGCTTATAAATAAAATATTTAAATTTTAAAAAAAGTCTGTGTGAATCTGGTGAATTAACCTAGGTGAATCCGGCGGAGGCTTCTGCGTTGAGGACGGCGCAGATTAGATGAGGCCAGGACCCGCAGGCACTGCCCTACCTCTCGCCAGATCACAGCTCTGCCTCTGCAAGACCCCAGGGAAACTAACATCCCTGCTCCCCTGATTGAAGCTGGGTGTCTCACCCAGGATCACCAGCGAGCTCAGGGTCCTTCCCCTGACCACCCCAGGGTGGGCATTTTAAAAAGCGGCTGAAGGGAGGGAACACACTCTTTGGCGCCGTGCCCACCTTGCCTCGCCCAGGGCGGGCACTCAAAGGCTTTGGGGGCCCCGCCCGGGCCGCAGTGGGGAGAGGCCGCCCCATGCCCCGCCCCACCAAATTTAAGCGCCTTCGCCCAGCGCCGGACGTCCCCAGCCCCAAACAACCGGTCTTGCTCCTACCGTTTGCAGAATCTCACTCCTCCCGAGCTCTCCTCCTTGCTCCCGTCCGGGCATGGGCCGCGCCAAGCCCAGCCCCAGGTCGCCAGGCAGCCTGCCGCCCGCTCCCTCGGGCACTCGGGTCCGGCCAACGCGCTCTGGCCCTAGCCGCTCTCCGGCGCTCGGGTCCCCCACGGGCCAGAAAACGCCCCGCACTCCCGGACGGTTCCAGTCCCCCTTCTCCGTCGAGGCCATCCTGTCGAGGCCCGACCCCGTCGCGCCGGCTGCCTCCCCGCTGTCAGTCTCCGCCTGCGCCCACCAGCACCTCTGGACAGCTCCTTCTCCGTGCAATGCCCAGAGTCTGTTCTGGCCGTGCCGGGCATCGTGGCCGCCTGCCTATCTGAGCGTGAGTCTCTACCCGCTGTGCTCCCCGCGCCCCATGCCGGGGCCGCGCGTGGCTCCCGTCTGCAGCCTGCGGGGCTTCGGCATCACAGGTACTGCGCGCCCGGTGCCCACATGCAGGAGACTGGGTGGGGACTGGAGGGCCGAGGCCGCCACCGCCGGCGGAGAGGGCAGGAGAGGGCACTGGGTGTGAGTCACACACGGCTGGAGTGGGAAGGGGCTCTGCTACCGTTGACCTTGCAGCTGAAGCAGAGGACCGAGACAGTCTTGCTGAGAAAGCCTCCGGTGCGAAGCTTCACTTGCACGCTGCTGAGGCGGGAGAGGATGGGTGTGAGGGCGGCACAGTGCGGCAATGCGGTGGGCAAGAGGTCAGCGCTGGGGCTGCACGGGGACCCAGCCCTGCTTCCATTCCTTGACTGCCTCGCACACCCCGGGGTAGCGCTTGGTGGCACACACGCTTCCCAAAGCGGCTCTCAATCTGAACCGATGGCCCTGTTTTTGATATTTTTTTTTTCCTGGGGAGAAGTGGACGCTCCGGACCGTGCTGTTGAGCGAATACCACCGCCACAGCTCACGTCTGTGAACTTGGGCTCCACTTCTCCGCTCTGAACCTGCATGGCTGCAGTGCTCTAAAGTGGTGCTTAAGGGCCAGGCACTTAAATCTCAGGAGAAAGCAACTGTAAAACTGGGTATGGTGGCTCACGCCTGTAATCTCAGCACTTTGGGAGGCCAAGGCGAGCGGATCACCTGAAGTCAGGAGTTCTAGACCAGCCTGGCCAACAAAGTGAAACTCTGTCTCTACTAAAAATACAAAAATTAGCTGGGCGTGGTGGGGTGCGTTAGTAATCCCATCTACTCAGGAGTCTGAGGCAGGAGGCAGAGGTTGCAGTGAGTGGAGATTGCACGACTGCACTCCAGCCTGGGCAACAATGAGACTCTATCTCAAAAAAAAAAAAAAAAATACTGTAGAGGGAACTTTGCCCTCTAGCATTAAACAACCACCTTACATGTGCTTTTGCCATTTTTGGTTGCCAGGTTCATGTTTCCCCATGGCCCCACGAAGAAAACAGGAGCAAAGTTAGTCCAGGCCTTATCAACCCATACCAAGATAGCTGTAACACAACCTTGCTGGATTCCTACTCAGGGCACCGGCCTCAGTCCTGCATTTCCTCACCCCATTTCAGCAATGCATTAACCCCTGGACTGCCGGCCCCATCCAAATTCAACACCATTGGATCTGGGAGCTGTGCCAATCACTCCAAGTCACCGTTCTCTGAGCTCTTCACACACCTGAGGACTGAATTACAGTTTGCTACTTCATATTACAGTTGTGTTATCTCATTTTCAAGTTAGTTTTTTTTGTTCTTTTTTCTTTTGTTTTGTTTTGAGACAGAGTCTCGCTCTGTCTCCCAGGCTGGAGTGCAGTGGTGAGATCTCTGCTCACTGCAACCTCCACCTTCCGGACTTAAGTGATTCTCCCGCCTCAGCCTTCAGAGTGGCTGGAATTACAGGCGCCCACCACCACGCCCAGTTAATTTTTGTATTTTTAGTAAAGACGGGGTTTCACCCTGTTGGCTAGGCTGGTTTTGAACTCCTGACTTCAAATGATCTGCCCACCTCAGCCTCCCAAAGTGCTAGGATTACATGCGTGAGCCACTGCACCCGGCCTCAAGTTAGTTTTTGCATGGGTATTATATCTACACAGTCCAAATGTCAAAATTTATACTAAGATATATGAAGAGTACTTTCCTCTTTTGCCTCTGTCACCTAGCCACCTATTTCTTGAGATATTTTATGCATATTTATTACCTGAATACAGATATGCACAAACATGTCTATTCTTTCATTTCCCCACACTCACCATACACTCTGCACCTTACTCTAGTCATTTGATCATATATCTTGGAGATTTTTCCAATCCATAAAGAGCTTCTTTTACAACCACAGAGTAGCCCATTGTAGGAATACATCATAATTTGTTTGATTAGGTCCCACTGATTGTTTTTTGTCACTGCTATTATATACAGCACAGCAATGAATAACCTTGCACATAGGCTATCTAGTATGGCTGGGCTTGCGGTAGTTTTGCCAGATTGCACTCCACAAACCTTGTAGCCCCTCTGCCTTCCTGGAGTTCAAAACCAGCTGTGTGAGAGTGCTCCCTTCTCCTTCAATCTCACCTGCATAATGTATAGTCCATCTTAGTTTAGCCAATCTGATAGAAGGAAAACAGTATCTCTGTGTTAGTTCAATGTGCATTTCTGGAATATAAGTGAAATGGAGCATATTTCCATGTTTAAGAGCCATTTGTATTTTTCTGTGAACTATCTGTTCTTTATTTTGCCCATATGTATAGTTGGTCATTTAAAACAATCTATTTATAGATGCTCTTTTCTATTGAGGAAATTAGCCCTGGCCGGGTGCAGTGGCTCACACCTGTAACCCCAGCACTCCGAGAGGAGGTCAAAGTGTGTGGATCACTTGAGCTCAGGAGTTGAGACCAGCCTGGGTAACATGGCAAAATCCCACCTCTACTAAAAAGACATAAATTAGCTGGGCATGGTGGTGCACACCTGTTGTCCCAGCTACTTGCAGGGGCTAAAGTGGGAAGATTGCTTGCACCTGGGAGGCAGAAGTTGCAGTGAGCCGAGGTCAAGCCACTGCACTCCAGCCTGGGTGATAGAACAAAACCTTGTCTCAAAAAATAAAAAATAAA